GGCCACCGATGACTCTCCTTGCCCCAGGCCTGGGGAGAGGTGGAGATGTTTGGAACCCCAGAGTTCTCAAAATCAGACAGGGCCCAGGCCTTGCTCCAGGCAGGCAGGTATTACCTTGTCCCTTCTGTGTGCTCTGTGGCCAATTTAAATTTAAATAAAATAATGTAAAATAAAAAACTCAACTGCCCAGTCGTACTAGATCCATTTCAAGTTGCTAACCCACTGCATTGAGTCCGTTCAGACTCAGCAACCGTTTAGGACAGAGCAGAACTGCTCTATAGGTTTTCCAAGGCTGTAAATCTTATGGAAGCAGATTGTCTCATCTTTCTCCCACAAAGTGGCTGGTGGGGTCAGGCTGCCCATCTTTTGGTTAGCAGCTGAATACTTCAACCACGTTGCACCAGAGCTTCTTCAAGTGGCTAGTGGATCCCATATCCCACAGCGAAGATAAAGACATTCTCATCTGTTCTGGTTACCTAGTGCCACTCTGACAAGAATGGGATGGCATTAACAAACAGGAATTTATTCTCTTACAGTTCAGGAGGCTATAAGTCTGAGTTTCAAGTGCCAGGCTCTAGGGGCTGGGTGAAAGCCCCTCAACCTTGGGGTTCAGCTGTGCCTCCTGCTCCTGGCCCACTAGAGCTAGAGGCTTTTCTTCACTCAGACACCTGCTGGCTGCTGAGACTGACAAGCCCAAGGTTGACAAGTAAAAAGGTACAGTCCCAATGTTACCAAACCACACAGCAGGCCATTAACTCAAGTCCACTGAAAATCCCAAAGTTGGCAGAGCATGGCAGGCTGCTGAACAACGACATGGCTACGTGCACGGTTCAAACGTGCCATAAGCTAGAGACCATTCCCAAAGCTGTTTCTTATATGCGGGAAGCAGACCACTTACCCAAAGCAGCTACTCAGCTGCTCCAATAAATTCCATCATGGAGTTAATTACCAATCTTGCCATGGGGAATAATTACATTCAGTTGCCCAGCCACTCAACAAAGCCCAGCCAAGTGGACACACAAATGTAACCACCACACCATTGCTGCAGAAAGCTCTATTGGACAGTGCTGCCCCTGTGATTTCCCTCACAGAGTTTTCTCTGGTCTCCTCCCCTCCAGGAAAACCCTCCTGCGCCTCCCACCTCTCAAGAGCTCACCGCATCCTACAGCCACACCCCGGTGTGCAAGAGGGACATGAACTCCCCCGATCCCTGGGGGGCCCACCCTGCTCCTCAACAACGCAGCAAGCCCCAGCTTTCCCCCTTCTAGCCCAGGTTGACAAGGGAACAGCAGCTCTCATCTCATCATTCTGATAAGCCCCAGGCCACTCCTCCCGGTCGTCCCCTCGTTCGTAGCTTCAGCCATTCCCTTCTTCCGTTCTCCACTCACAGAATCAGGGAATGGCGGGCTGCAGCTGGAGAGGATGTGGCTACTTCACCCTTTTCCTTTGGCATAAGGCAAAGCAGGCCCAGAGGAGGAGGAGAACTTGCCCAAGGTCACTCGCATCCACTCTGACCTTCAACGAGTACTAAATGACTCCGAGCAATGAAGGAGAAACAGCAATAAATGATACTGAGTACCTGTTGTGCATTAAAAAAAAAAAAACTCACTGCCAATGAGTCGATTTCGACTCATAGCAACCTCCTCTGGGTTTCCAAGGCGATAAATCTTTACAGAAGTAGATTGCCTAGTCTTCCTTCCACGGAGTGGATGGTGGGTTTGAACCATCAACCTTTTGGTTAGTAGTCAAATATGCCTTAGGCACTATGCCACCAGAGCTCATTCAAAAACCAAACTCTAAACTCACTGTCGTGGGCTCGGGTCCGACTCATAGTGACCCCTCCTTGGGTTTCCAAGGCGGTATCACTACGGAAGTAGATTGCCCAACCTTCCTTCCGAGGAGTGACTAGTGGGTTTGAACCACCAGCCTTCTGGTTAGCAGTTGGATGCCTTAGGCACTACACCACCAGAGCTCCCAGACCTCATTAAGCAACTTTATAAATCAAACATCAACTTATTTCATACTCACTACAGGTTGCACTGCCAATTTCAGACCAGCTCTGAGGCTCAGAGAGGTCAGGTAACTTTCTGAAACCACACAGCTAGTAAGTGGCAGAGCTGAAACTCGAACCCAGAGCTGCCTACATCCAGGACGCAAAGGAATTGCTGTGACCAGGGTGAATCCTGGGCTGCTTTGAGGGCAGGGTTCAGAGGAGCTTAGCTGGATGGAGGTGACAGTAGCGAGCAGCTCGTGGTCACCATTTTGGACACCGTGACTGTGGGTTCTAAGATTCCAACCGAGGGGAAAGGAGAACGTAATGGCAGGGGCCACTGAGCTTCTCTTAAGATAGATGGTAAAACCTGGGAACGGATTAGGGTGATGGCTGAACGACGTAATGAACACAAATAACCTCACTGCACAGTACATGTGCGGGCTCGAAATGCCAAGTGTCCCGTTACATGTGCAGTCACCACAATTTAAAAAACTAGTCTAAGTTCTCACAAGAAGACTGAAACATCGTCTTAAGGATTTTGTCTCAGACTTTTACGTCACAAATCCAGATATTCTGTGAGGTGAACAACGTGGAAGTTTGGACAGTCTCACCCAGAGTCTAGAAAAGTTCACTTTCAACCAGTAAGCAAGGGCCTGGTGCTGCAAGAGGCGTTTTTTTAAGTTGCAAATTTCACCACAAGTCTGGCTCCCATTTTGTGAGGCGGACCCTGCCCCCTAGCGGAAAGGAATGCCATTTCTGGGTCAAGGCAGAAACTTCCTCCTCCTGAGTGCGGGTACCTCACTATGAAGCTTTTGTTGATTTCATATTCTTGGAAATGAGTTTTTAAAAATGAGCCAGTGTGTGAAACCGATGAGCAAGTTTTCCTTTTTTTATGCCTGCATTGGATGAGGAAGACACTGGATGTGTGGGGCCCGGTGGAGAAGCCCGGTGTGGAGGCAGTGCTTTCAGATTGGAGGCGTTTCTGGGTGTGGGCCATAGACCCCCTGCGTCAGGACCCTCCAGGGACTCTTGTTAAGGGCAGGCTCCCTGTGTCTCCCACTCTGCCAAGCCCACCTCTCAGCTGGGCCCAGCCACCTGCAGCGTATAGGCTCCCGAGGTTCTGCCAACTTCAGGGAGCCCTGGGGCTGGAGGAGCTGCTGTCAGCTGTATGAGCACCACCTGTGGGTGTTCCCACAGATCTGCCACCTGCAAGGACACCGCCCACCCTCCAAGGCCCCACTGTGGGCCGCCTCCTCAGTGAGGCCACCCACACCCCTTGCCAGTGGCCCTGCTGGAATCAAATGAAAGTTTGTAGGAACAGTGTCCTGTGGAGTGCAGCCCAGCGCACACGGATGGACGCTGAGCTCCCAGTCCTGTCAAGCGTGTAGAAGGCGTTCCATAAGTACTTGAACACAC